GCATGTTGAAAGGGAAATATATCTCAAAGATAAACCATTATTCTACCATGACTGGAAGATACACATTCTGATCGAATAATCTGAGGTTTCAAATCACAATAACCACCTCTGATTTAAACAGCTTTGTTTTGGTTCCAAATTCAATTTATCATAGTAGAACTCTACATTGAAAACACAGCAGGCTTATCTCCTGATTGTTGCACTTATTGTGATATTTCCATAAGTTTTATGACAAAATATTTCATCCTCAAAAAATGTGTCCATAATGAAATGCCATACTGTATTTGCCATAATAACGAGCACAGGATGGATGCTTCTCATTACAGCACACAACGATTTAAATTGGGTGTCATAGATCAAGAGGTAGGTCAAACTTTAATGTTTGTTTGTTTGTTTAACGCCGCACTTAGCAATATTCCAGCTATATTATGGTGGTCTGAAAATAATTGAGTCTGGACCAGACATCATGAGCATCGATCTATGCATTTGGGAAAGGATGACATGCATCAACCAAGTCAGCTATCCCGTGAGTCACCCGTTTACGACAAGCATAGTCGCCTCATAGAGCTGAAGACCAATTCTAACCCGGAATCTTCACGGGACTCACACTGTAATGAGTTCAAAACCTTTACGATAATAGTTACTATACATTTATGTATCCCTTCTACACAGCTGTGCTTTCTGTAAATAATCTGTATCACAAGAAAATACGGCCTGTTATGTTAATGTTCCAACGAAGTAAGTGATGCTTATAAAGATACACACAGATCTGGTCTGGACCATTGTCGGGGGTGCTTAATATGGCGAATACAGCATGTGTATTCAGTATATAATGCAATGTTCACATTAAAACAAATACATTTTTAGTACCAGGTTATTCTATCCTTAAAGAATACATTTTAAGATTAAAATACAAAATTTTTGGTATTGAATCTAACAGATAATAAAAAGTACTGCAACATCACACGTACAGGGAGAACCTCCAGCAATACGATCTGGTGCCCTGTCTGGCCACCGTATGAATCATAAATGATCTTCAAAGCCATAAAACTTGGAAAAGAAAGACTTAAATATGATGTGTGGAATGTGATGGGTTATCAAAGCACAAAAAAAGTTATGAAATTGTGTAAAAGATATTCATAATAAACAATGTAATTCGAAATCATAAAATACCTCAATTAATAACTACCTTGCAATCATGATGAGTGAGTGAGTGAGTTGGGTTTAACGCCGCTTCTAACATTATTCCAGTTGTATCACGGCGTGTCAGCTTAATGTGGGAGGAAAGCCCGAAGTGATGCTGGTCTTAGATGTTTACCACTTCGGTGAAACCCACGAGCACGGGAATGGTGCCGACAAACATAGAAACATAATCAGGGCGAACCGGGATTCGAACCCACAATCATAGGTTTCTGGCGTGCCCAAGGGACACAACTCTGCACAGCAAATCACGGCAGTTACACGACTGGGACACCCATGACCCCCGCAATCATGATGACTTCCTGTCGTAATCAATTAGTGGAGAAAAAGGTATAGTTTGAAACAATGTACTAGTTACACTACAACTGATTATTATCCTTATTTTTCTTAAAAGTATACCATTTTTTACTTCACATTGATATATTGTTTCTTATTGCCTACCTTTACTGTTACATCTAAAGAGACTAAAACTCTCATGTGAAATGGCCGCCTCCATGGTCTTGTGGTAGCGGAATGTCTGGGGTTTGATCCCCGACCGCGTCATACCAAAAGATGTTAAAAGATGGTACTTGGTGTTACCCTGTCTGGCGCTCGGCATTAGGGGCTAAAACAAGGACTGGTCTGCTCGGAGTCAGTATACTGTGTCTGAATGGTGGAAAACTGAGACAGTCAGCTAGCACTATAAAATTGGCATTAGTGCGGACCAGTACAAACAGCCACACACACACGTCCCTGTATAAGTGCAATAACCTTGGACGCGACGTTAAACCCCATTTCACCTCAGCTCAAGTGACATAACCTAATAAATTCATTGGTGAATATCAGTAATTAGGCAAATAGCATCAATGTATCAATCTGCCTTGAAGACTCAGTTACTTGTAAAGAGAAACAATTGGCATTTCATTTGACAAATAAAAACTGGAGTTATCACCCTATCCATTTAGTCATTGTTTAGTTGTCATAAATGTTGGAATAATACTTGACCATCAAATACTAAATTCTAGTTGTTAGAATACAAAGTCCACATAATATCAGTCATCTGTCAATCCAAAAACTGGTAACCAATACTTTGATAGTCTCAGAAATGATGCCATTTTGTCTTAAAATGCTTGAACAATGCATTAAATACCAACACGATACATATTGTATGTGTATTGTATTTGTTCATTTGACTAATTTACCACAATGCCATTAAGTTTATGCCACCTTTAGCAATATTCCAGTCATACTTGTGTAGGGCAAAGCCAGGAATGGGTTTCATCTATGTAGGGAATTGAGCCTGGGTCTAAGTCAACAAGAGTCAACAACTATGCAACCCCTTTGCCCTGTGCTGGGCTAAATAAATACCATCAAATACAGGCTGGTACTTAATCACATCTCTGTTTCGAGGGGAACTTAGGGAAATACTTAAAATCAAGAGAAAATTATTACTACCGTATTCGACGTAATAAGCGCCCACGGCGATATTTGCTAATATATTGACTAGTGAACAATCCTAATTAGCACCCCTTCCGATTGATCAATGTACACAAGACTTATTTACTCGCGTATAATACGCACTCGTGTGTTATATGCACCCTTAATTATGGGCAATTAAATTCTGGAAAAATATATCTGTCGTATATAAACATTTTAAGGCTGTCAGCATAAACCACGAAATTTATCATTCAACTCTGTTTTTGTTCACCAAAATAATATTCTAATAAGAGCCCCCATATTTCTAATTTCTAGAGCGCCCTGGGTGCTTATTACATCGAATACGGTAATTCATGTGAGACACATTTCCTGGTTTCAGTCAGGTCGCTAATGGTTCAGCTCTGTACAACTGCACGATACAACAGTTAAATGAACAGATTGAGGCATGGAGGTTAATATAGACAATATCAGCACTGGTGGTTATGTACAATATTTACAATTATCCCCATACAATGGATCCTTGAGGTTAGTCCTAAAACACTAACTAACAACTCCATTTTTAGTCATTTTTTTGCATTGTTTAGAAGAACAAATGGTACTCAGATTTACTAGCACTGTGATATTATACTCGAAACATAGCTCGAATAATACTTCCCGTACTACATTCTGAAATAAGAGTAGGATTTGCATTTTATTTATAACCAAGTTCATCAATTATTAACTTTTCAATATAAACTCACATTATGTTATCATTATTTGTAAAGAATTATTTCTGATCCATTGTATGTAAGATTTACATTAATGCCATTTTATGTATTTGATTCTCACAATTGGTTGTCATGAATGCTGACGGTAAATCTAGGCAGGTGCTACCCCTTGGAATGTCTTAGTCATAACAGAAGCAGAAAAAAGAATTGTATGTGACAGCGATTCTTATTTTTTTCATGACATCTATAACTAGTCATCATGAAAATCCTGAAAACTAATATTAAGGATATACATTTTTGTACCTATGTACTGACCAATATTTGTTCAGCGTACTATTTAACAAGCAATCTTAGCTCTATGTTGAAGTACTGGAACTACCATCATTTGAGGGTAAGATCACGTAGTGAATGAGGTGTCTCGAGACGTATTCCTGTACAAATATTTTCCATAAGAAATTCAATCAGTATCTTTAATAAAAGATACCAGTTATTTGCACCTCGGAGTAAACAATTTGTAATTCGACACCACCTGGTGAAGTATTCAGGTTAACAAAAGAAACAATTATGTTTATTATTAAGCCCGTTGTCTTCTGAATTACTGAGATTTGAAAAGAATTACGAGGTAGTTGTGGTAAGTTATCTTGATACACGACAATTTCAGGTGTTCATTATTCTACGTTAAGAAATCAACTACAAGTCATCCAATAAGTACTTAGTAAACATCCAATAAGTAGCCTACTTAGTAAACATCCAATAAGTACTTAGTAAACATTGTAGCAAATGTCATTCACAGACGAAACAGTGAGGTCATCACTTTGATGTCACTACAAACATGTACCGTATACAACGTATTAAATGCCCCATCCACAAACTCCCAACCATGTTTTGAAAACAAATTTATTTTTGTCAAGCAGTTACTTTCCTACCAGTTGTAATTATCTTTTCAGACCATGAGGCTTTTTATTAGTCTTAGTTGGTTGGTCAAGAATTAAATGCTGAGGGTAAAAAATATATATACAATTTCAGCTTGCAAATGACGTTATTAATGACTTACATCCAAAAGTGTCAGCCACCTGGTCGGACATAGAGTGTATGTTGGTGACGCTAGATCAGCAGATTATGTCGACTCTGCCTTTGCTGCAGAAATGTGGGTGGAAACAAAGACTAGCAACCACTGTGGAGGTTTAGATCGCAGACTCTATAGTCGTGTCAGGAGCCATTAGTTAGTAAAGAGTAAACGTCGTGTTGACTAAAGTAGCGTCGTGAGCCATTAGTTGGTAAATGGTATAGGTCTTACCCTCTCTTATAGCTAAAATGGATAGAATTATCATTAAACCACCCGCATGTTATCAGAAATAAGCGGGCCACTGTAACTTGATAATGCCCTCATATTGCTTGATGACGGGGCATTATCACGACCATTGTTAGGTGACGTCATAGGGTAGGGATAGTGACGTCACGTTGAATAGTGACGTCATCTGGTTTGTTCTATGACGTTTCCATATTTGTAAAAGTGGGTCAGGAAATTCGTGTTGATTGCAGGAAATGTTTCAAAACTGATATTGTTGTTTCTTTTTATTTGATAACAAATTCCATCCATTTTAGCTATAATAACGGTAACGCTCTTTTCCAGGGCATTATCATTTGCAGAAGCCCTCGGTCTTTTAATGGAGTTAATGGAAGACCTTGGGCTTCTGCAAATGATAATGCCCTGGAAAATAGCGTTACCCTTATATTACACACTCCTGGACTGCTACCAAATTTTGAAACACAGTCAGACCCCAAAATAATTGTCAAAAGTGATTTCTTTTATAATTTCAGTTATTTAACATTGGTCAGTCAGTCAATCATCTAATAAACAACATAATTATTTATTCAGTATTCATCAGAAGTTTCATCCACTTATAACACTTTTGGAACATTTTACTCCTGGAGCACTTCACACATGGAATATGGTAATTAAAATATCTCAAAATGAACAAACAAGGGGTAGCTGATAACAACATGCAACATTCAAAAAATATACCAAGCAGAACATTATGCTTGAGCAAATCCACAGATGGAACTATAGAGCATCCTTAAACAATCTTTCACAACACAACCGTTCAAAACATTCTGACGATGTTCAATTCAGTACACAGAAACATATTTTCTGAAGAACACGATGGGGTAAATTTGGCTAAATCATAAATTAAAATTTTCTGCAACCATTTGTAGAATGGGCGAAAACCACTTACAGTTATCATGATACACTTAGTGTAAATAAAGCTGTAAGATTAAACAGTGTTTATATATATGTGGGAAAAGGTGTTCTGAAAGACAAATCTTCCAAAATAATGTTCAAAAGTTTGTATTATATACTGCAAATCATGAAACTAATGCAAAACATGCAAGTGCCCCTTGCTTGGATAAATAAAAAGTGATGTATTGTTGTCTGAATTTTAAAGTCATGTGTTGTTCACAGCACATGGACGAATATATTTCCAGTACAGTAACACCAGTTGTTATGAATACATAACACATTTAAATAATAACAAAAACTTGTGAAAAATCATTTGAATCCGTTACAATCTTCGTCCGTTGATCTGACTTATCTTAAAAAGGAGAAATTAAATCTGAAAGAAGGCAACTGCTATCGCCACTCTACAGTCTTAATGGTTGCTGATCAGTATTTAAATTTCAAAGTTAGGGAAACTTGCATTAAGTTCATGACCTATTTTAGGCTAGGGTCATCACTTGCATTAATTTGTGAACACATTCATTTCCTGATTTGCAGTATGCATGAGACGAGTTATTACAAACAAAGGGGAGGTAACTCTCACAATATACAGATCGTTGGTAATGACGGTCCATGGTTGTTGGTTCTCTGACGTACAGCCAGTCTAACCAAGGATAGGAATCTTTGGCGCGCTGATGAACACGGAAGTCTTTTTTCAAAGTTAATGCACTTTTTATGACATAAGTCTCTGAGGTTACAGCATGAACTTCTTACTTCGAAGATAGCAGAATAAAACCACAGAGGCAACCATTGCAAGAATCTGCGAAAAAAAAGAAATATGGTTAGTTCAAGAATATTTGAAAAGAAGAAATTCATGTTTCTTTCAGCTTCACAGCATATATAACGTTTGTCCACTTAAAAATAAAGTAAGTTCTAAGGTAAAACCGTACACTGTAAATGATTGCAGCCCTATGTTGATCCAGAATGGATTTATGACTGTCTCAGCTTAGCTCACCTGTAAGACACCCACTGTAATCCTGACCACAGACAGCTTAGCTCACCTGTATGACACCCACTGTAATCCTGACCACAGACAGCTTAGCTCACCTGTATGACACCCACTGTAATCCTGACCACAGACAGCTTAGCTCACCTGTATGACACCCACTGTAATCCTGACCACAGACAGCTTAGCTCACCTGTATGACACCCACTGTAATCCTGACCACAGACAGCTTAGCTCACCTGTATGACACCCACTGTAATCCTGACCACAGACAGCTTAGCTCACCTGTATGACACCCACTTTAATGCTGACCACAGACAGCTTAGCTCACCTGTAAGACACCCACTGTAATGCTGACCACAGACAGCTTAGCTCACCTGTATGACACCCACTGTAATCCTGACCACAGACAGCTTAGCTCACCTGTATGACACCCACTGTAATGCTGACCACAGACAGCTTAGCTCACCTGTATGACACCCACTGTAATCCTGACCACAGACAGCTTAGCTCACCTGTATGACACCCACTGTAATCCTGACCACAGACAGCTTAGCTTACCTGCATGACAGCCACTGTAATCCTGACCACAGACAGCTTAGCTCACCTGCATGACACCCACTGTAATGCTGACCACAGACAGCTTAGCTCACCTGTATGACACCCACTGTAATCCTGACCACAGACAGCTTAGCTCACCTGTATGACACCCACTGTAATCCTGACCACAGACAGCTTAGCTCACCTGCATGACACCCACTGTAATCCTGACCACAGACAGCTTAGCTCACCTGTATGACACCCACTGTAATCTGACCATAGACAGCTAAGCTTACCTGTATGACACCCACTGTAATGCTGACCACAGACAGCTTAGCTTACCTGTATGACACCCACTGTAATCTGACCATAGACAGCTTAGCTTACCTGTATGACACCCACTGTAATGCTGACCACAGACAGCTTAGCTTACCTGTATGACACCCACTGTAATCCTTACCACAGACAGCTTAGCTAACCTGTATGACACCCACTGTAATGCTGACCATAGACAGCTTAGCTCACCTGTATGACACCCACTGTAATCCTGACCATAGACAGCTTAGCTCACCTGTATGACACCCACTGTAATCCCGACCACAGACAGCTTAGCTCACCTGTATGACACCCACTGTAATGCTGACCACAGACAGCTTAGCTCACCTGCATGACACCCACTTTAATCCTGACCACAGACAGCTTAGCTCACCTGTATGACACCCACTGTAATCTGACCATAGACAGCTTAGCTTACCTGTATGACACCCACTGTAATGCTGACCACAGACAGCTTAGCTTACCTGTATGACACCCACTGTAATCTGACCATAGACAGCTTAGCTTACCTGTATGACACCCACTGTAATGCTGACCACAGACAGCTTAGCTTACCTGTATGACACCCACTGTAATCCTTACCACAGACAGCTTAGCTTACCTGTATGACACCCAATGTAATCCCGACCACAGACAGCTTAGCTCACCTGTATGACACCCACTGTAATGCTGACCACAGACAGTTAAGCTCACCTGCATGACACCCACTGTAATCCTGACCACAGACAGCTTAGCTCACCTGTAAGACACCCACTGTAATGCTGACCACAGACAGCTTAGCTCACCTGTATGACACCCACTGTAATGCTGACCACAGACAGCTTAGCTCACCTGTATGACACCCACTGTAATCCCGACCACAGACAGCTTAGCTCACCTGTATGACACCCACTGTAATGCTGACCACAGATAGTTTAGCTCACCTGTATGACACCCACTGTAATTCCAACGACTCCCAAGATGTACATGTTCCGTACAAACCAGTACTCGATCTCGCCGAGACAGCCCTAAAACAGGAACGATTGTTGTAAGATCATCACCCAAACAACTCTCTGACAGCAATACAGAACTCAAAAGATAATGCCATGACACTCTGCACCACCAAGTCAAATTGAACGGTCTTTGTGCCTTAACCATCATGGTGCCTGGCCATCAGTCACCTTGTTTAGGGCAATGTGTGGATAGACACAAAATGCCATTCAGAAAGTGGTCTACCAGTTGTCGGACTTTCATTTTTTGTGGAAGCCTTGGTGGCTGAGTGGGTTAGATCGCTGACTTTGTGTGCTTGCGATTAGGTGCCTCACTCTGGCGGTGGGTTCGAATCCAGGACGGAACTCAACCCAAAAAAGTATGAGAATCTGTACTTTGCTAAGAAAGTGTTATCCCAAATATAACATTTGTTACTGTGTGGATTAGGTATATGCTGTGTAAAGAGTGGTACAATGTTCTTGTTTCTTTACACAGTGTAATACAACTGTACAACAATCACTATGTCATCCAACAGTATCTACATTTATCAAATCCAAAAGGGATATATATACTGCCTAGCCATCAGTGAAAGATTAGGTATTCTATTTAATGTTTTGTTGTTAAATGCCGAACTCCAGCTATATGACAGCGGTCTGTAAATAATCATGTCTGGACCAGACAATCCAGTGATTGACATCATGAGCATCAATCCACGCAATTGGGATACAATGACATGCATCAACCAAGTCAGCAAGCCTGACCACCTGATCCCGTTAGTCGACTCTAACGACAAGCATAGTCGCCTTTTACGGCAAGCATGGGTTGCTGAAGACCTATTCCACCCCGGATCACAGACCCAGACATAATCCGTAGGTACATTCTCTAAATGTCTTGTGGTCATTTTAATCAATGTGTAGCCTACCCTCTCAAACCAGAATGACTTGTCAAGTTTCCCGCAGAACTCAACCGGGTGTAGACAGCATGAGTCGGGGACGCGCATGGCATCGGGCCACGCCTTGATGCGGTACCAGTCCGTGAAGTTGTCCACACCACAACACTGCAGCTGTAAGGGGAAGAGATAGGCTAACATTAGTCTCTGAAATTAACATATCTTACCATCTTCCTGAGGCAAGTGAGTTAACTGACTATAAAAGTCCAGTTTCCACCCTTGCCGAACTAGGTTGGTATTATGGAGTTACATTTTGGCTGGACTAACGAGTCTATGCACAGTCCAATCAAAATCGCGAACTGAAATCGAAATCCGGTTCGTAAACTGTCATGCAGATTTCGGTCGATTGCAGGATTTGCAAAGCATGTGCACCGCCAACTCGTTGTCAGCAGATATTTTGCAAATCTTTTCATGTTTGTAATCGGGAAGATGTATTTTACAGAAAAGAAACAGTTGTTAAATTACAGTTAGAGAATATAACAAAAATAACCCCAGACACTTTCTTCATTTTCAGATACTGCAGTAATCTAGACTTGTCCAACAATATAGACCTGCTTGAGCTTAATTGGATATACTGCTTTCGGGGTCTGTACATCTTTCCAAGACAAGGGAATTAAGTCCAGTTTTCATCCCTTGCCGAACAAGGCTGGAATTATGGAGCTATATTTAGCTGGACTAATGAGTCCAATGCATAGTCCAATCAAAATCGCTGAACGAAATCGACATCTGGTTCATAAACAATATGGCGACTGTCGTGCAGATTTGCAGTTGCAGGATATGCAGAGCATTTGTACTGTCTACTGGGCAGCAACAGATGTTTTCTAAATGTTTTCATGTTTTTGATCAATGTGCTTGAGTCATTTGTTGTACTTTGAGGTAAGACCCATTTTATTACAATAAAGATCTTGATTATCGATCAGGTCATCTGGACTGGGTGCCACCATTTTGTTTGAAGCAAATGCAAGTGAAAGGAGAGGTGGAATCTGATTGGTCAATAGAAGGGACATAATTCATAATTGCCACTGCCACGATCAAGCCACGAAATACCAGCCTAGTTTGGCAAAGGTGGAAACTGGACTTTTAAAGTCAGTTGCCTCCCTTGCCTCTGGAAGATGGGGTCTGTATGACACACAAGTGAAGAGACAGTCATGTGGAAACAACAACAACAACAACAACAACAACAGACAGACAGACTTGGAGCCAGGAATTTCAAACAGTGTGGGTAACCACTACCTACCTAAGGCTAAAACAAATAGTCTTGGTTCTCAGGCACCGCCCGCATCATCATAAAGTCTGCCGCATGTTTTGTTTTTATTTCCATTAAAAAACAAACAATTTCCTAATACTTAAAAACAGTGCACTCCAATACAGCACACTCCTATATAGTTACCTCCCTTTACATGCGTACTGCTCTACTGCGCATCTTGTGTTATAGGAGGCACGGGTGGCCCAGTCGTCTAAGGACCCGCGATTCGCTGTGCAGAGTTGCGTCCCTTGGGCATGCCAGAAACCTATGATTGTGGGATCGAATCCCGGTTTGCCCCAATTATGTTTCTAGGTTTGTCAGCACCATTCCCGTGCTCGTGGGTTTCACAGAAGGGGTAAACGTCTGAGACCTGCATCACTTCAGGCTTTCCTCCCACATTAAGCTGACAAGCCGTGATATAACTGGAATACTGTAAAAAGCGGCGTTAAACCCAACTCACTCACTCACTCTTGTGTTATAGTCATGGCAGCAATACAAGTTTGTATGCTTGTTCATGTAGGGAGGCCCTTCCCCAGGTTGATGGTACACAACTGTTTATTTGGTTACATACTAGTTCGAACATGCAAAAGAACCACCACCCTCCCACACTATATTTTCAAAAGTCTTTGCCTGAGAACCAATTATTTTATTTTTTTAAGCCAAGGTGAACACTGTGTGAAGAAAATAGAAAAGGAGACTGACAAAGGCTGACAAGTAAATTGTCTCACAATAGTCTCTGCCCCGCATCTGCATCTACCACTGGTGTTTCTATGGTGTGAGCTTCACAGGAATGAGTGAGTGAGTTGGGTTTAATGCCGCTTTTAACATTATTCCAGTTATATCACGGCGTGTCAGCTTAATGTGGGAGGAAAGCCCGAAGTGATGCAGGTCTAAGACGTTTACCACTTCGGTGAAACCCACGAGCACGGGTATGGTGCTGACAGACCTAGAAACATAATTGGGGCAAACCGGGATTCGAACCCACAATCATAGGTTTCTGGCGTGCCCAAGGGACGCAATTCTGCACAGCAGACTGCGGCGCCTTAGACGACTGGGCCACCCGTGCCCCCGAGTGTCACAGGAAGGGCGATACGATGTGTATCACAGTGTTGTAATTAATAACAGCTTTCAAGATAAAAACTGGCAGTAAAAACAGTCTCCATCTAATTGTAACATTTCTCCTTGTGTGCAATGACAAGAGTAATGAAGAGATGACATATCCCCCGGTCTGGTGCCATTTGGAAATGGAGTTTGGCTACTCATACTTTTGGTTCACTGCCTTTGGATACCTTCAGTTCAGTGAACATGGTGAAGAAAAAATGCTGTTCAGTATTTTTTACTATCCCAAATCATCAAAAGGCACCAGTTCACCACTAGATTGATCTGCATAGCAAGTTTAACCAAGAAATATTCAAGGCACTAGCCTCAATTTCAGGGTAAAGTCCAACTTGTCTTCATTATAAAAAATATATAATGATAAAAAATCCCCCAAAAAACAAAAGGCACCAGTTCACCACAAGACTGATCTACATTGAAAGTTTCAAGAACAAATATTCAACAGTTTAGGAGTTCTGCTAAACAGACAGCTGACGGACAGACATGCTGATAATACATGTAGTAACAAAAAGAATAGAAAATAAACCAACATTTCAGCATCATAATGATAATCCCATATTCATTTACCACTGTTACCTGTACAACTACCTGGTATGTACATTTTGAAAAATTAAATTTAAATTTCAGAACAGAACATGTTCTAATTACAAAAACACTTTGTTTCCACCTGTGTAATTCATATTTAAAATAAAATAAATATAGCTATGGAAAGAGAGAGTGACTGAGTGAATGCTGTTAAACTCCATAATCCGATTCCACTCAGATCATGTCTGCCTGAGGACAATCAACTCGGATCAGACAACCCAGTGACTGATGACAGTAGGCCCATATGCTGACTCAACATGGTGCTAGTAACATACGTACATCAGTCTGTAGTGAGTCGATGACCTCCATCCAGCCTTCTGTGTTGGGGTTCTGCATGACGGGGGTGTAGTCATGCCGGATGCTGGCCAATAACTCCTTCTTAATCATCATCTGCACCTGTGATATCAAATACAAACATGGTATGTTAGGTGTATGATATGATATATGATATGATATGATATGATATGATATGATATGATATGAATGGTATATGTCTCCCAATACTATGGGTGTGATATGATATGTATCTCAATACTATGGGTGTGATATGATTATGTATCCCAATACTATGGGTGTGATATGATATGTTTCCCAGTACTATGGGTGTGATATGATTATGTATCCCAATACTATGGGTGTGATATGATATGTATCCCAATACTATGGGTGTGATATGATAGGTATCCCAATACTATGGGTGTGATATGATATGTATCTCAATACTATGGGTGTGATATGAAATGTATTCTAATACTATGGGTGTGATATGATATGTATCCCAATACTATGGATGTGATATGAAATGTATCCCAATACTATTGGTGTGATATGATATGTATCCCAATACTATGGGTGTGATATGATATGTATCCCAATACTATGGGTGTGATATGATAAGTATCCCAATACTATGGGTGTGATATGAAATGTATCCCAATACTATGGGTGTGATATGATAGGTATCCCAATACTATGGGTGTGATATGATATGTATCCCAATACTATGGGTGTGATATGAAATGTATCCAAATACTATGGGTGTGATATGATATTTATCCCAATACTATGGGTGTGATATGATATGTATCCCAATACTATGGGTGTGATATGATATGTATCCCAATACTATGGGTGTGATATGATAAGTATCCCAATACTATGGGTGTGATATGATTATGTATCCCAAAACAGTAAAGTGATCCCTCGCTAAAATGCTACCGTTGGGGTCCAAATATTTGATGGGCGTTATAGATGGTGTTACGTGATCGCGGTGACCAGCTGATTCTGTTCTTTGAGATGGGGAAAAAGTCGTGTTGAGTTTATTAAAAATGTAAGTCAATTTTGGGAGCCATGCTTTACCATGCACTATAACGGAGTTGGCGCTATATTGAAGAGCGCAATAGCAAGGGAACACTGTACTTCTATTTTATAAGTTGATATTCTTTCTTTTTGCAGGTGAATCACAATCAAGACTTATGACATGATAAACACTTTCAAACTCCTTGATTTTTTTATATTCCAAAACTGTTGAGAGGACATCGCCAAGGATTTACTGTTCAACAACTAACAACTATTAAGTAGAGGGCACTGCGAATGCTGAGCTATCGAAAGCCAACCGGGAAATGCCAGAAAATCGGTATAAGCTGGTTGTTGAACAGTTTTGCTAAGCATTCTGAATCTGATATTATTTACAAGGTTTTACACCCACAAACTTGTAATGTATTGCGAAACAGGGGTTGTAAATTGATGTATTGTACCGTGGGCCTCGAATCATGGTATCTTTAAATCACTAATGTCGTTGCTTTTTATCAATTATTTTACCAGAAAGACCTCAGTACCTCTGGCATGCCTGATCATTTCAATAAAAAAACATCGGATCTGAGGGGTCCAACCTATTCCAACCACGACCAACATTCATTCAGAGAACTCTTAGCATCTAAAATGTTTAAACAACATTGGTTTAAAAAGAAAGAAAGAAATATTTCAGCATTCACGTTGTTGCTTGGTCGTTTCCTCTCATGCCCAACACAAGTCTCTAAAATACTTTGCTGCCATGCTGATCTAAGGGAGATAACCCAGTGAGTAGTTACCTCTGCCTTCTTGACAAATCCCAGGGTTCCAGCTGTGATCTCCAGAGCAAAGATGAGCAGCACCATAACAAAGTACTGAAACAGGATGATAGGAGATCTGTGAAGATCCGGGATAGAATAGGTCTTCAGCAAACCCATGCTTGTTGTGAAAGGGCACTATGCTTGTCATAAGAGACAACTAACAGGATCGGGTGGTCATGATCGCTGACTTGGTTGATGCATGGCATCGTATCCCAATTGCGTGGCTCGAGGCTCATGCTGTCAATCACTGGATTTTCTGGTCCAGACTCGATTATTTTACAGACCGCCATCATATAGCGGGAATATTGCTGAGTGCAGTGTTAAACAACAAACCAAAACCAATCACTGCTTAGTTATAGCACCATCACAAGAAATTGAGTGAGTGAGTGAGTGAGTTGGGTTTAACGCCGCTTTTAACATTATTCCAGCTATATCACGGTGTGTCAGCTTAATGTTGGAGGAAAGCCCGAAGTGATGCAGGTCTAAGACGTTTACCACTTTGGTGAAACCCACGAGCACGGGTATGGTGCTGACAAACCTAGAAACATAACTGGGCCACCCTTGCCCCCTCAAAAGAAATTGAAACAATACAAGCAGCATCATAAAACACTGAAACATTGTATTTTGTTAGTTTGTTGTTTACCGCTGCACACAGCAATATTCCATGTTTGTGACAATGCCCAACAAATGACTGAGTCTTTACCAGACAATTCAGTGATTGATATTGTGAGCAACGATTCAAGACAGGGTACAATGACCTGCAATCAAGTCAGTGAGCCTGACCATCCAATCCTGTTAGTCGCCTCTTATGACTAGGTTGCTGGAGACCAACTGATGCAAAGAACAACATTTTCGAACTTTTTGTAAAATGTGATTTTAAAACATTAAGAGAAAAAACAAAATTACAAAAGATTTTTGCAACTTCGGGTGGGACAATGATCTTATTCCGGTCATTACACTCACAAAGTTTAAGCCCTGTACCCAATGATTCTAAAGAACAAGATTTAACTTTTGTGCATGTAAAATGTGATTTTTCAAACATTAAGAGAAAAAAAGACTTACAAAAGATTCCCTTTGTTTTGAACAAGATCAGGGCCCACTTGCACAAAGCGATCTTAGCACTAACATGATACATATCTTAACTCCCATACTTTAACATAGGCTTACGATGGTCTTAGCGCTAAGATCATTTTGTGCAAGTGGGCCCTGATGTCTTCATCTGAAGGAAGCTACATGCCAAATTTCAGCTTCATCACGCAGTACCAGGAGAAAACATTTTAAGAGCATGCCAAAAGGGAAAAGCTCTTCACAGTGCAAAGGTCACCTTTAAAGTAGTCCATCACAAACAAACAAAACCCTTTGAAATATCATGGTCCCTTGCCCCTAAAAGTCCGAAGCAATGCCTGTTTGGGCTTTGACCAGCCAAGGGATAACAGACACAAGTAAAATTGGCAAAAACACAGGTTTACCGTTTGTGGACGGTTGGCGCCTGCTTTAACTTGTTTTATTTTTACCGGTACCTCCGTATCAAAAGGTGCAAGATGATGAAGTTTTGTCTGGGCCATCCTCCTGACAGCCTCTCACAAAGCTTCTAGAACCATTTATTTTGGATGTTAAGTTTTTTTTCCGTACGCAAAAACCTACGTTTTGCCATATCTCCCCAGTGTATGCAGATAATTTGATAAAACAACTTTGCAGGCTAGTGCACAGTAGGGTCTAAATTAATTTTTTTCTCAAAATTATGCACCTTCTGTGATTTTTATAGCTTTACCACTATACTGTAAACAATTAGTTTCAAAAGTGTAGTTATACTAAAAATACAGGGGTGTTAAAGTCAAAGAAGGTAACTGCATAAAAAATCACACTGTCAAAAAAACATACTTGCTGCACATCAAATTTCATAATGTACTTGCAGAAATAACTGAGTAACATAAAAAAAATTGACATTTAAATATGGCCTTGATCATAGGAACCTGGCACACTTCAGGGAGGTAACTCTGGACAGCAAATTGCAGTGCTATATGTTAGACTACTGGGCCATGACTAATATGTTACAATTAATATACTTTTAAAGAGAACATACCGTTTATTCCACGTAATAAGCGCCAAGGGCGCTCTCAAAATTAGAAACAGGGGGCTCTTATTTGAATATTATTTTAGTAGAAAAAAACAGAGTTAAAAGATAAATTTTGTGGTTTATGCTGACAGCCTGAAATGTTTATGTACGACAGATATATTTTTGCAGAATCTAATGGCCCAGAATTAAGGGTGCATATAACACATGAGTATGTATTATATGCAAATAAATAAGGCTTGTGTACAGTGATCAATCGGAAAGGCTGCTAATTGGGACGGTTCACTAGCCAATATATTAGCAAATGTCACTGTGGTCGCTTATTACATCAAATACTAACTGCAAAGCATCTGTATGATTCCTCCCAACACTTGACCCACTCCATGAAACACTCACCCCGATCAGCATGCACTGGTTTTCAAGGAAGGCTCCGCAGCACCCAAGGAAGCCGACGATGAGGATGATGGCGCCGGCTGTGATACACAGTGCAGATGCACTCAGGAAACTGTACGCGGGCAGCATGGACACAAACGGACCACGGTTGAACTGCAGCCATATTCCCAGGGCAAGCACACCGCAGCCCATCAGCTGGAAGCAAACATAGAACACGGGTCAAACATGGAACAGGTCAAACATAGAACACGGGTCAAACACGGATGACAAACGTCTACATTCTCACACTACAAGCAGCTGGAGTCAAACAGGGAACAGGTCAAACATGGAACAGGTCATACATGGATGGCAAACGTCTACATTCTCATACTACAAGCAGCTGAAGTCAAACATGGAGACAGAGGTCAAACATGGATGGCAAACGTCTACATTCTCATACTACAAGCAGCTGGAGTCAAACATGGATCAGAGGTCATACATGGATGGCAAACGTCTACATTCTCATACTACAAGCAGCTGGAGTCAAACATGGAACACAGGTCAAACATGGATAGGAACGTCTACATTCTCACACTACAAGCAGCTGGAGTCAAACATGGAACACAGGTCAAACATGGATAGGAACACCTACATTCTCACACTTCAAACAGCTGGCATCAAACATAGATCAGAGGTCAAACATGGATAAGAATGCCTACATTCTCACACTACAAGCAGGGGCGGTCGGGTAGCCCAGTGGTTAAGGCGTTCGCTCGTCACGCCGAAGACCCGGGTTCGAATCCCGACATGGGTACAATGCCTGAAGCCCATTTCTGGTGTCCCCTGCCGTGATATTGCTGGAATATTGCTAAAAGCGGTGTAAAACCAATCTCACTCACTCACTCACTCACACTACAAGCAGCTGGAGTCAGACATGGAACAGAGGTAAAACATTGATCTAGTCTATAGTCAACTTATGTTGAGTCTGTTTAGTAACTGATTTGGAATGAAATTACAATTTCAAAGAGATGTCACTTCCAGAAATACATGTTGCAGAAAGCACCAAAAGTTCAAGTGAGAAGAATTATATTAAACACCAAATATAGGAAGTGACAGTAAATTAAAAAGATGGAATTTACCAAATAACATGATCAGGAAGGTATTTTCATAAGTAACTTGGACGAAATCATACTGCTTTAGTGGATCTAAATGATAAAATAATTTCGGAATGAACTACAGGGAATGAATTTTGATCATGAAAGCCACAGATTGCAAGACAATACCAGTGACAGATAAGTTGCGTATTTAAGTAAAGTACTTAAAAATATATTCTTAACCCAATTTCTTTCAATGAACTTGCATACAAAAAACATATGATTTAAATGGAAAACCCAAATGTTTAAAAATAGCACGGGTAAATACCCAATGATACTTTTTCAGCATGCGTACAACAGAGCTAAATTATGAAACACAACTACGAGCTAATTTTCTTTCCGAGATAAGTCTATATTTAGCACTGTTATACACTCTGCGGAGGATACTACACAATAGCGCTTCCTCTCATTTTGATGATTGCAAATATGTCGTTCACGAGCTTGAAATGAATTTCAGACAAGTAACTTCCATGTTGGGGGAAAATGGCAGCTTCCATTCACTGGGAAAGAAAATCGGTGCAGCAAACAACACAGAAAAATATGTTGTTTGCTTGTAGGAGAGCAAATGGATGAAAATGTGCAATTTATTTCAGATGAACTTATTTCCATGCATCCCATCCCTGACTGCTTGGTAGATGCTATTATTGAAGTTATTGACAATGTGCATGGAAAGACAAAAAGACACACTGGCGTTTGTAAACGACGAATGGAAAACAAATTTTCCATGGCTCATTTTTGAAAATAAGGTAAAACAATTTTCATGAGGTGCAGTTTGTGTCGCATAAATGAAACGATTTGAAATTAACCAAACTCTGGGCTTACGATGGAACTAGTACTGCAGTACTGCATTCAAAGTCCAGTATTACTAGACACAACGAAATGACTTTTGTTTTGACAGTTTATTTTATATCATCATTAAGTAAATGAATCAGATGAATCACCTCAAAATAATGCAGTTGGCGTGGTCGAAGTTGCTAAGCGGAACATTTTCAAACATGTGTTTTTAGCAATTACTTGTTAGCACCTGCACGTTTCAATTCAATCCAAATAACACAACACTACAGGCCTACTTGATATACTGAAATTACAATTGAAAGAGTTCTTTTTCTAAAACACTAACATTATTTCATTTTTTAAAAATCTTAAAATACTTACTCATTTTGGGAAAAACCCAATTGAGTGATGAATATATGAGTAAAAAAATATTGGTTACCCAATAAAAAATGAAGTAACCCAATTAAAATAGAAACCCTAGAACATGTAGAGAAAACTCAATTGCTCAAAACGTTATCTGGAGCTCTGTGATACCATTAACTGATGTTACAACTATAATGTTTCAGCACACAAGCCATGCATATGACAATAATTAACGTACAAACAGTCATAAAATTCAATAATCATGTGTACAAAACCGAAGGAATTCTTCACTTGACTGAGCCTGAAGAAAAGGGTAAAATAAAGAACAAAATGCAAACGTAAGTTATTGAAGTTTTGAGCATCTTTTAGATAATCTATATCTGGAATAATCCTTGTACAGTTTGTTTCAATGGCCTTATGGTTTCAGAGGACACATGTGAATGTTTATGGACAAACGGACAAACGGACAATGGGCAAATCTCCAGAATAAGCCAACTTGAATCAGCCAACGACGGGAGAGCCAACTGCAATTGGTACTTCAGTTATCAATATATTTCACATATTTTTTAAAAATATTTCCTCATGAGACGCTTGAGACACATACATGATTGATCCTCCTGACTAGAATACTGAACGTGCCCTTTAAGATGTTCAAGTAGCAAGGACCCAACATTCAGATCATTACCAAAGTACATTACGCGCTAACTTTGAAGTGCATTGAACTCCATGGTCTTAAATTTGATCTATTCATGAGTGAGTGAGTGGGTTTAATGCCACTTTGAACAGTTGTTTGTTTGTTTGTTGTTTAATGCCGCATTCAGCAATATTCCAGCTATATGAAGGCGGTCTGTAAATAATCAAGTCTGGACCAGACAATCCAGTGATTGACAACATGATCATCGATCCACACAATTGGGATAAGATGACATGCATCAACCAAGTCAGCGAGTCTGACCACCTGATCCGGTCAGTTGCCTCTTACGACCATGACAACAAGCATAGTCGCCTTTTACGGCAAGCATGGGTTGCTGAAAACCTAATCTACCCCGGATCTTCACAGGTGACTTTGAACAGTATTCCAGTTATATCATACATGTCAGCTTGATGTGGGAGAAAAGCCCCAAGTGGCGTTGGTGTCAGGCGTTTACCAAGAAACATACATGGGGTGAACTGGGATTCGAACCCGTGATCGAAGGTTTGTGGTGTGCATAATGGACGCAACTCTGCACAGCAAATCATAGACCCATAGACCTTTGGTGACTGGGCCATTTCTCCCCCCACCCCCACCCCCCACTCCCACCCCCGATACATGAATGTGAGCAGATGTATTTCTACAATGCTTGTATCAAAATATCAGCCATCTGACGGATGCCAATATGTAACAGGTAGATTATGGACCTCCATCCTTTGTTGTCCAGTGTATCATATCTCAATTTTCTAATATTTTGCAAGGGGATATACCATCTCACTTTGCATCAAAATCCCACTGTGAGATGAAGCATACTTGGGAATGACATATATTTCATAAGCATTAATGTCAAGGTCATCATCAAACCCTCAAAATGGCAGCAACAAGGCGACAACACAGCATCTGATGTTGTTCCAGAGAAAACCACTACACATCTCAAAGAACAAAGAAACTTTTGGACAATGCAATGTAGAACAAACAGGTTCTAACCCGACTTTACATTCCTTAATCTACTGACAATATTTGCCCTTCAGACCCTGCGAACCAAGCCATGTGACCTTCGCAAAAAATTTACCGCTGACCCTGGTTTAATATCCACACCACATCCTTTGAGGGGGATGGCCAATACAAAACATTGACCCACCATGCTCGATGTGGTCAATCGGACAAAGTTGACCCAAATCTACTTTCACAGTTCATGCCTGTGGACATCAAATATGGCCGCTGCCCAATTGTGCTCCGTTCAACATGTTGACTGACAGGCAGGGTGTAACGACAAGCATGTTGACAAACAGACCAAGGTCCTGGATACCTAATACTGTGTAATAGTCCTTTAATCTCCGTTACATCTTAATTTCAATTAATCAAGCTCACAGCCCAAGTTAATCCTTGACAGTTGTCAATGTTGACCCTAAATAATTAATGCTTGATACTGAACAACAGCTTGTGGATGTTCTTATGCAATTATAGTTGACTTTGAAACCATGTACTTGTCTCAATCTCATGATCAAAAGGCAACACTTGGTATTTAATGAACAAATTGGGTAAAAAGACGAATGGAATTAAATATCATACCCAAATTATAAGTCAAACTTTCAATCTAATAAAAATGAATATAAGACACAGTATCAGTGAGTGAGTGAGTGAGTTTGGTTTTACCCCGCTTTTAGCAATATTCCAGCAATATCACGGCGGGGGACACCAGAAATGGGCTACACACATTGTACCCATGTCGGGTCTTCGGCGTGACGAGCGAACGCTTTAACCACCTGGCTACCCGACCGCCCAAGACACAGTATCAACTTTTAGTATGTCAAAACGTTGAGTCGTGCCTTTGACTTTATTAAAACCAATCATTTTCTTCACATGTACAATTGAGCAACATTGAATCAAAATTACAAAAGGAAAATATATTCCTTGTCGGGCAGTTATTGACAGATCTCAGGCTTTACAAATGATATTACCCTCATAGTAATAATACGGAACCACATTTCCAAACATGGAAATAAAAGAGACAATAGTAAATATCTACTGAAAACAGTTCATTGTGCCAATCTGACTATATGTGTTTATTCAAAGTCTAAACTTTCTAATATCCCTGAGGCATATATAGTGAGTGAGTGAGTTGGGTTTACGTCGCTTTTAACAGTATTCCAGTTATATCACGGCGTGTCAGGTCTCAGACGTTTACCACTTCGGTGAAACCCACGAGCACGGGTATGGTGCTGACAAACTGC